TGTCTTGAAATACCCCAGAATCTTCCCCAAAACTTGCCCCCCAGAGTCTCCCGGAGAACGAAAGCCACGTGGCCCACGCTCGCACTCAGGCATCAAAGACGTGCGAGAGCAACAAATACTCTGCTCAGATCTTGCAAAGAGAAGATCTTTGTCGATTCAATCCACCGATAACGAGTCTTTGGTTATCACCTTATTATTTTCAAAGGAATGCCATCGTCTCATGATGTGACCAAAGTACGACGGCCTCAGCTTAATTCTTTGGGTTTCTGGGAGGAGTTCAGATCGAGTTTGGAGGCAATAAACAGAAGTCTATGAACTTCAAGGCCGGAAAGGATGTCTGATGCAGAGTCTCCGCTCTGATTGGCATCCCCTTGCAATGCAGTACAAGGCACTTTATCCCCTATGGCGGCCATTCAAAAGGCCCACTCCCTCCTCTGAGTGGTTTAGAAATGGGAAAGTTACGTTCCGGCCTCTTATTGGCTGGGGACTCCCACTGAGGCCTCAGCCACCGGAACGTGGTGGAGGCTCCTTCTTTGGAGGCTTCTAAGCAGAGGCTGGATGGCCATCTGTCGGGGGTGCTTTGAGTGCGATTTGCCTGCTTCTTGGCCAAATGGGGTTGGGCTGGATGATGGCCCACCAGTCTCTTCCAACTCTAGGGTTCTAGGATGCCAGGGGTGGGTGGAGTTTCCCCCGTGGCAGGAAGGAGGGAGAGCTGTCGTTGGTCTGCTTAAAGTTGGAGCCGTGCAGAGAGTCCGCCCAGACTGGGCTAATCATACAATTTAGGGCAATGTGGAGAGCTCATAATCGGAATGGAGGTTAGGGTTACACAAACAGAGACTGGCTTTGAGGCAATGAAGAGGTGTGTGCAAATACAGACAATGGGAAATAGACAGAGCAAAGCAGAGTTCCCTTCCACTTTTCTGTGAAGTCCCTGACTTGGGGATGGGGTGCTGGGAGGACTTCCCTCTTTCGTTCCTCCGGGAAAGTGTGGAGACGGAGCAATTAATCAAGGAGCTAATGAGAAATGTGTTTTCTTCCTTCCTTCCATCCTTCCTGTCCTCGCTCTGCGTCATATTCTTCTTAGCCAGGTGATTACAGTCATACCAGGCGTGCTTAGAGTCCAGGCTGGGCTCCCTTGCTCCAGTGCCGCCAATTTAGAGAAGCATTAATGGAAAAGAGAAGCCCCAAATAACACAAATCAGGGGGCTTTGTGTTGCTGCACTTGTTGCGCAATTGGTGGCCGGCATCCATTGCCACCGAGCCCCATCGATTGCCTCTTGACTTATGCCTGGCAGCCATCTTCCCATCTTGCTCTTTGAATTGGGCCAATCCATGGGACTTCCCCACTTGGTCCATTCCAACATCCAAGGAGAAAGCGAACAAGGCCTCGCAAAAGGATAATAAATGATCGGCCAGGTGTGAATGGCGGTGCCAGCGGCCCAAAGTGTAGAGCGGAGCCTGGTAAACAAAGGGCCTTGGGGTCCGTATCTGGCCCGCGGGCCCTGCCCAGGTGTGCTTGCCCCCAGGAAGGCCCCAAGGGAGCCCCTCTGGCCCTCTGCTCCCTCCTTCCTTCCCTCCCTCCCTCCTTCCCTCCCTCCCTCCTTCCTTCCTTCCCTCCCTCCTTCCTTCGTGCCCAAGGAGGCCTTTTTCTCTCTCCAAACGTGTCGATTTCCACCCCGGCTGCTTTGTAATTTCATTATTTACCTCCCATTTAGCCTTTTGACAGATCAAAGCCTCAGCCGAGGCGAAGCGAGGTGTGGCGCGCATGCAAACACGGCTGATACATAATTAATTACCATAAAACAGTTTCATTAGGAGGATGGGGTTTCACGGCTGTTTGTCTTCCAGGGTTTAAGCCATGTAAAGCAGAAGATAGGCTTTTGGAGCCGGTGGTATTCATCAGAGTAGTAATAATAATAATAATAATAATAATACCCCTCCTTACAGCTCAGAAGGGTCAATAAGGAAGCATGGAGGATATTATTATTACTACTACTTACCCCTCCTTGAAAGTCTTTGGGGTCCATATAGAACCATGATAATTATTATCATGGGATGCTCTGAAGATGCTTGCCATAGATGCAGGCGAAACGTCAGGAGAAATGCCTCTAGAACATGGCCCTATAGCCCGAAAAAACCCACAAGAACCGAGATTATTATTATTATTATTAATCTACCTCTCCTTACGGCTCATAGGTGTCCATGTGGAAGCATGAACATATTTTAATGAATATTTCTGCAAATGATTTTGATGAACATTTTGTAGATATTTTAATGAATATTTCTGCAAATGATTTTGATGAATATTTCTGTGGATAATTTATTAAATATTTCTTTGAAAACTTTAGTTGGATATTTCTAAGAATATTTCTGCAAATATTTTCATGAATTTTTAAACAGATATTTCTACGAATATTTTTGATGAATAAGTCTGTGAACATTTTTATGAATATTTTTGTGAATAATTTTGATATTTCTGCGAATATTTTTGTGGGTACATTTATGACTATTTCTGTGAGCATTTTATGCGATCCCAGAATGCATTTTGTTCAACTCCCACCTTCAATGGGCTTCTCTGCCCTTTCCGGGTCCATCCACACTCAACTCATTCCGTTACACCCCTACCACAGAAACGGACACAACGTATAGTACATACATTGCCTAGGTTCTTGGGTGTATCAAGTGGTGAGGGTCTTGGTCCTGAGGCAAAGAAATACCCCCAGCACCCTCTCCCTCGCCCTGCCTCGCAGTGGCAATCGCTGCCTTTGCCCGGGGCTTTGGGTTTCCCAGGGAAGGATGCGCATTCCTAGAGAGTGCCGGGTGTCTGGAAGGCAGGGCTTCAGCACCACGGACAGCAGCAGCCGCTCCTCCTCTGACTCTCCTCTTTGCCACAGCCTTCCCTTCCTTCCTTCCTTCCTTCCTTCCTTCCTTCCTCCCTCCCTCCCTCCCTCCTGCGAGGGGAGAACCCCTGGCCTTCTCTGTGGTCACTTTGGAAGCACCATCCATCCATCCAGGCCAACTCCTTCTTCCTGCCATGAAAGAAGGAAGGCACCACCCGAGCCTTCCCAACAGATGGCCATCTAGCCATTGCTATGACGGATACAGACTGGGGTAAAGTTCAGGCCAAAACCCAGAATGAGCGCAACCGGCTTCGCCAAAGGGCCAAAGACTTTATTCTGCCTGAAAGGGTTTCCTCCGGCATCAAGTTGACAAAGCTGGTCATCTCAATCTAAACAGGAAGGAGGTTTGGCTCTATTTCGGAGGAACGGATAGAAATGGCGCCACCTGCTGACGGCTGGGATCAGGTCACTTCCAAAAAGGTTCCTCTTTAATCATAATAAATAATAATAATAATAACTTTATTTGTACCCCGCTACCCAAGGGACTCAGTGAGGCTTACATGAGGCCGCACCTTTTCTCTCTTTCCCAGGAGAGAAAAGGAAACGCGTTTGGTGAAGCATTTCCCTAATACACACACACACACACACACACACACACACACACATCGTGTGTGATAAAGTCCATGTTGGGGGCTTGTTCATGTTGTGATAGTTGTGTTCTGTGTGTCTGTTGGGAGAGAATAGGGCCGTTTTGTTGAATGGCAGAAAGGCCCCAGGAAGGAAGGAAGGAAGGAAGGAGGTACAGACCGGGGGGGAGGGGGGAGGAAGAATGAATGGAGGGAGAGAAAATGGGAAGAAAGGAAAAGTGGGAAAGAAGGAATAGATGGTAAGAAAGGAAAGAAAGATGGAAGGAGAGGGGGAATGAAAGAAAGACACACACAGAGAGGGGGAAAGAGGGGAGGGAGGGAGGGAGGGAGGGAAAGAGAGAGAGAGGAAGGAAGTGGGGGGAAAGAAGAGAAGAATGAAATGAAGGGAGGAAAGAGGGGAGAGAAAGGAAGAAAAAGTAGGAAGAGAGGGGGAAAGAAGGAAAAGGCAAGAGGGAGGGAAGAAGAAAGAAAGGATGGCTGGAAGGGAGGGAGGGAGGGGAGGAAAGAGAAAGAGAGCAAGGGAAGTAGGAAGAGGGGGGGAAGGAGAAAGAAGGAAGGAAGAAGAAAATAAGACAAAAAAAAGAAGGAAGGGAAGGAAGGAAGGAAGGAAGGAAGGAAGGAAGGAAGGAAGAAAGGAAGGAAGGAAGGAAGGAGAAGGAAGGAAAGTTGATTTCATCCTCTCATGGAAGAGGAAAGGAGGGAGGAGGAAAAGAAATAAAGAGAGAAGGAAGGAGGGAAGGAAAAAAGAGAAGATGAAGAGGAAGAGGGAAGACCATTTCTGCAGGACCTTTGGGAAGGCCTGGCTTTCCCGTCTCTCCAATTTAGAGAACGGCCTCCGCCTTCCTTGAGCAGGGTTAAGGGGCCCATCCTCATCATCATCATCATCATCATCATCATCCTCATCATCACCATGATTCCCAAACGGCAGAAGGAGACTTTTAAGTGGCCAAACGAAGAGCGGATCGAGGAAAAGGAAGACCCGGAAGCGCTTGTGGAAGTTCTGCTCAGTCGGGAAGCGCTTCCCCGTTTCCGAGCGGCTTCCTCCCTGGCGCTTCCCCCTTGAAGACGGCCTTTCGGTAGAACTGCAACTCCTTGACGCTCTCCTTGATGTCCTCGAGGGCCCTAAAGAGAAGGCATGCTGCATGGCACTATATTGCTCGGTAAGAGAAATAAGGGGAGGGGGGAGGGGGCCTTTCGGAGGAGGAAGCCTCCCGTTCACGACCCACCGTGCCTTCCCTCCATTGATACCTCAGCGACATCGTTCACTTTCTTATGTCACGTTGGTCTTGGGGGGCTTTGGACTTGGTTTCCGTTGTATCGATAACAGGACTCTGCATGTTTTTATGAGTGATGAGAATGTCGTTCCCTCATGCCTATCCCGCCTTTCTCTCCCCCAAAAAAGGGGGAAGCGGGGGTCAAGGCGGCTGAGCGTTTCCCTGCCTGAAAATCGACTGTTTCCACAGCCAGAGAGCAAGGCCCGCTTCCCCTCCTTCCCTCCTTCCTCCCTCCCTACCTGTGAGAGAGCGCCTTCTTGGGTGCTGATGCAAACTCTTCGGGGAACCAGCGCCTGGAGGAGGGAAGGGAAGAGAGTCAGCAGGAGGAAGAGGAAAAGAGGGAGAAGAGGAAGCAGGAAAAGAGGAAAGAGAGAGAGGAAGGGAGGAAAGGAAGGAAGAGGAGGAAGAAGAGGGGGAGAAGAGGAGGAAGAGGAAGAAGGGCGAAAGAAGGAGGCGAAGAGCAAGAAGAGGAAGATGAGGAAGGAGAAGGAGGAAAGGGAGAAAAGGAAGGAGAGGAGGAAGGAGGAAGAGGAGAAAAGGAAGAAGAGGAAAAGAAAGAAGAGGAAGATAGGAAGAAAAGGAAGGAGAGAAGAAGAGCAAGAAGAAGAGGAGGGAAAGGAGGAAAAGGGAGAAGGGGGAAAGAAGAAGGCGAAGAGCAAGAGGAGGAAGAAGAGGAAGGAGAAGGAGGAAAGGGAGACAAGGAGGGAGAGGAGGAAGTGCCAGTAGTAGGGGTGGTAGAGGAAGAAGGGGAGGAAGAACGCTTCCCATCCCGGCAAGGACACAGTACACAAACCCCCTCTGGCCCATTCATTGCCTGCCCTTCACCCCCCCACGTGTTCCGCTCCGTCCTGCTCCCTCCCCCGGCTGGATGTGCGGGTGGTTCCTCTCCTCCCCCCCCCCCCCCCCCCCCCCCCCCCCAGTGGCCCCCCCCCCCCCCCCCTTGCGCACCTGCAGAGCTCCTTGACGGTGCTGACGTCCACGATGCGGTAGTGCAGGTGACTCAGGAACTGCGGCATGTGCTTCTCCAGGAACCTCCTGTCTGCGTGAACAGAGTTCCCTGTTGGAGACGGCCATAGGAAAAATATTACAGTATATAAAACACATATATGGATACATATCTATAAAGTTAAATAGATTAAAGTATAACACAGAACGTTGGATGAGCGAAGGTTGGAAAAGAGAGACTCTACTGTAGACATAAAGTAAATAAATTATATATACATAGTAATAAATACATTAATATAATATATATAAATTAAAATACACATATATGGATATATGTATTCATAAAATTAAATACATTAAAATATAATATATAAAAATGTATAAAATAATTATAGATGTTATTTTGATCTATTTCACATAATATTTTAACATTATAAATTAATGTGTTTGTGTGTGTGTGTGTGTGTGTGTGTGTGTGTGTGTGTGTGTGTGTGTGCAGAGGCACCAACTGCTGCATCCTCCCGCTGGAGACTTGCTCTATGGTGAAGCTGTCATTAGAGTTTTGCAAGGACGGAATATATAACCATTTCCTTCGTTGTTCCCTATCTCTTTCTGGGCGCAATGGGAGTTGTGGCTCAATCTCTCTATAATAATAATAATAATAATAATAATAATAATAATAATAATTCCAGCATATAGATCTCGTTTGCTGTGACACATACTGTGCTTTTGTATCAGTAAAATAATAATAATAATAATCATCATCATCTTTATTTATGTACCGCCCTATCTCCCCATGGGGGCTCAGAGCGGTTTCCACATATGCAAAGTAATGCAAAAACATACAATATAAAACAAAAACATAGGCATAAACTGTTAACACAACATACACATTAAAATCAATTGAAAACCAGTTCCGCTCTCTTCTTCATGCAAGGTAAGCTGCCCGGGGCCAAGATTTCAATAAGGGGCCTGGAATACTATTTGGACTAGTGCAAGGAGAAAGGGAAAACGGGGCTGGCTGAATGCGACAGCGCAAGGATCGGCCTCTGCAATGGCCCTCCTAGGGGACCGGGGCCACTCCATTCCAGGGCCAATTAAAGGACTATAAAGAAGGTCTGGGCCGGAATAAAAGGTGCCCTCAGAGGACAGGGGACTGGGGATTGGATGGGGCACAAGGCCAAGTCCTAACTGGTGGACCAAGGGCTTGAGGCTAGTCACTATCGAAGGCCTGATGACACCACCAAGCCTTCAAATTCTTACGGAAGGAGGTGAGGGATGGGGGCAGCCCCCTCTAGTCCAACCGCCTTCTTTCTTTCAGCCTTCATGCAGGAAAAGCACAACCAAAGCCCCCTCAACAGATGGCCATCCAACCACAACAACAGCAACAACAATAATGATGATGATGATGATGATGATGATGAACAGCCCTGAAAGGCCCAGGATGGAGCCTTCTTTATGGCACCATGATGATGTTGAACAGTCCCTTCTTTCCAGGATGAAGAGGATCCCTTGGTGAGAAGCACCCTTTGGGTTCGGCCACTTAACCAATTAGAAATCCACTTAACAGCAGCGTAGTTAGCTTGCAAGAAGGTCACGGGGGAGTTTTGTGGAGGGCAGGCCTTGCTGGAACCAAGAGATGCTCCACCCACAGCAAGGCTTTTGGGGCAGGAGAGGGCTGGTTTGCGCTCCCATGGTTCTCACCTGCGAGGGGGCAGAGTCCCGGGGGCGTCTGCTGCCGGACGAAGGAGAGAAACGCGAGCTCGGCTTCGCGCAAGGACACGGCGCTCTCCCGCACGGCGCTGGTCAGGCCCGACTTCCAGCCAGCCAGGAAGGAAGGAAGGAAGGAAGGAAGGAAAGTCATTCGAAAGGAGAAGCAGCAGCCGCTCACCTTGAAAAGTTCTTGCATGGACATGCTTTAGTGCCAGCCGCTTTGAGTCTCCTTGTGGAGAGAAAGAGCGGGGCGTGAATGAACATAGTAAACACAACAACAACAACAACAACGGTCTCTTGGAGTCTCGTTGTGGAGAGAAAAGAAGGGGCCGTAAATAAATGTCATAATAATAATAATAATAATAATACCAACAACAACAACAGGAGAAACTCAGCCGTTCTCAGGACCTCAAAATCGAACGGCAAAGGCTCTGACGGCATAAACCAGTGCAGGTCGTCCCAGTGGGAATGGGCACACTGGGTGCCGTGCCAAAAGATCTCAGCCGGCATTTGGAAACCATAAACATTAACTAAATCACGATCTGTCAACTACCTGACTTGGATCTGTGCGCATCATTCGAAAATACATCACACAGTCCTAGATGCTTGGGAAGTGTCCGACTTGTGATTTTATGATAAAAAACCCAATACATAGCTCTTGTTTGCTGTGCCATAGTGTGTTTTGGGGTCAGTAAAGCCCCGGTGGAGCAGTGGATTAACGCACTGAGCTGCTAAGCTTGTTGACCGAAAGGTCACAGGTTCGAATATGGGGAGCAGCGTGAGCTTCCACTGTCAGCCCCAGCTTCTGCCAACCTAGCAGTTTGAAAACATGCAAATGTGAGTAGATTAATAGGTACTGCTCCAGTGGGACGATAACGGCGCTCCATGCAGTCATGCCAGCCACACGACCTTGGAGGTGTCTATGGACAACGCCAGCTCTTTGGCTTAGAAATGGAGATGAGCACCAATCCCAGAGTCAGACACGACTGGACTTCATGTCAGGGGAACACCTTTACCTTTACCTACTAAAGTAACAATAATAATAATAATAGCACTAGCCACCTTCCCATGGTGCTCCTTGCACCATTCGGACATGCCCTCCAGCACCTCGTCCGGTTGATGGATGATCAGGTTGGGACCCTGCAAAGGAAAACAAGGGAGAAAAATAAAGGAAAATAAAACTTGGTGTCCCATCATGAAGTTCTTATTAAACTTTACTGCTTTTAGTGTTGCAAACCACTTCATAATAAATGATATTATTAATATTACTACGACGACTACTACTATTGTAATATGTATTTATGTCATGCTTTCTCTCTTCCAAAGGGGACTCAAGTGGCTCACACTAAATTTGTTTAATTGTTATAATAATAATAATAATAATAGCTGTAATAATTGTAACAATAATGATTATGATTACTGTTATTATTACCTTTCTCCCAAAGGAGACTCAAAGTAGCTAACACCCAAACAGTTTAATTTATAAGAACAATAGCTATTATTATTATTATTATGACTATTATTGCTATCTGTTTTTATATCATGCTTGCTCTCTGCCAAAGGGGACTCAAGGTGGCTTGCACTAAAAATCATGCAAGAGGAGAAACAAGACATAAATTTATTTATTACTTAATTGAAATGTTTATATTCCACCCTTCTCACCCCGACTCAGGCGGAGCAGAACATAGATACGGCAGCCATTCCATGCCAAGGCATAAAATAACATAAAAATGTTACATCTACTTTAAAATCAGTTGTTTAAAAACCATCTCAAAAACCATGATGGCTTCGGTCAGCGGAGTAGGGTTCCAATTGTTGCCTTATTGCACCGTCCCAAAGGCTTGGTCCTCAGCGAGGTCTTTGCCATCCTTCTGAAGGACGGCAGGGAGGGAGGGGGGAGTTCCATAGCTGAGGGGCAATCACAGAGCAGGAAGGCCTTCTCTCTCTCTCTCTCTCTCGTCCCCGCCAATCGCACCTGTGATGGTGGTGGAACTGAGAGCAGGGCCTCGCCAGAAGATCTTAGGCTTCGCAGTGTTTCGTAAAGGGAGATGCATTCAGACAGGTAAAGTGGGCGGGGCCGTTTAGGGTTTTCTAGGCAAATCCGGCACTTTGAATTGTGCCCAGTAGCAAACAAGAAGCCAATGAAGCTGACGTAACATGGGATTAGCCTGGCTGCCTCTCATTGGACTATGTGAGGGTTCCGAACAGTCTTCAAAGGCAACCCCACGCAGAGCGCGTTGCAGTAGCCTATCCTGGATGTAATGAGAGTGTGACTCACCGTGGCCAAGTCTGACTTCCCAAGGTACGAGCACAGGTGGCACACAAGTTTTAATAGTAATAATAATAGTAATAATAATAATAATAATAGAATTCCAGCCTATGTTTGCTCCTCTGGACTTGAACTGGGAGGGAAGGGCAATGGGACTTTCGCAACAGGAAACAGCCGCCCGGGGTCCCGATAAAAGGAGGCGCCTGACTGCAGATGGAAAGGATCATACGTGTAACACATTAAACATACTTCTGCCACCAGGTTGAGGTCGGCATCGGTGACCAGGCAGGCCATCTCCAGGATGTGGTCGCGCTCAACGTCCAGCCCCGTCATCTGCAAGGAATGGGCAGAACCAGGCACATAAGAATGGGAGGGGCCCCCAAAGGTCACGCAGCCCACCCCCATAACAGGGAGGGAGGGAGGGAGGGAGGGAGGGAGGGAGGGAGGGAGGGCCCACCCCTCCAGCCCTTCCTACAGGAATGAGAGAGAGAGAGAGAGAGAGGCTGCAACGGGACGGAGACTCCCACCCTCCTGTTCATTCCGCCTGGGATCGCTTTGGCCTCGTCTGCTGCAGCATCGCACTCAGGGGTCGCCTGGGTCAAGTCATCTCTCTCTCTATTGTCTATATCTTTCTATATTATATATCTATACTTATTTAGGCCTTCCCTCGTTGTCCAAGTAGGATAATCTTCCAGGGCCAGTGTGCAGTGTGTCCGCAGGTGACTGTGGAGCCCAATTCTTGACTGACCTGCATGTTCTCCCACAGTGAGGGCATCGGTTTCCAGGTGGTCCCGGTTGGGGTTGACTTGATGTGCCTTCCTCTTGACACATTTCTCTCTTTCACCCTCCATTCGTGCCTCTTCAAATTCTGCAGCACTGCTGGTCACAGCTGACCTCCATCCAGAGCGCTCAAGGGCCAGGGCTTCCCAGTTCTCTCTCGGTGTCTATGCCAGAGTTTTAAGGTTGGCTTTGAGCCCGTCTTTCAATCTCTTTTCCTGTCCACCAACAGTCTGTTTTCCATTCTTGAGTTCGGAGTAGAGCAACTGCTTTGGGAGACGGTGGTCGGGCATCCGGACAATGTGGCCGGTCCAGCGGAGTTGATGGCAGAGGAGCATCGCTTCAGTGCTGGTGGTCTTTGCTTCTTCTAACACGTAGACATTTGTCCGGTTGTATATCCAGACTTACCTATCGATATCTACATCTCCCTATTTATCTCTATTATAGCCATCTCTATCAGTATTATCTATATAAATAAAAATGTAATGTTTGTTTGTGGGATTAGCATAACTCAGAAACCACTAAACGAATTGCTTCCAAATTTGGCCACAAGACACCAACTAACCCAAGGAGTGACCATCACTCAAAAAAATTGATTTTGTCATTTGGGAGTTGTAGTTGCTGGAATTTATAGTTAATATACAATCAAAAAGCATTCTAAACTCCACCAATGATGGAATTGAAATAAACGTGTCCCCCAGAACTCCCACTAACAACAGAAAACACTAGAAGGGTTTGGTGGGCATTGACCTTGAGTTTGGGAGATGTAGTTCACCTCCATCCAGAGAGCACTGTGGACTCAATCAATGATGGATCTGGACCAAACTTTGCATGAATATTTCATATGCCCAAATATGAACACAGATGGAGTTTGGAGGAAATAGACCTTGACATCTGGGAGTTGTAGTTACTGGGATTTATAGTTCACCTACAATCAAAGAACATTCTGAACTGCACCAACGATAGAATCGGGGCAAACTTCCCACACAAACTTCCTTTGGCCAACAGAAAATACTGAAGGCCATCCAGTCCAACTCCCTTCTTCTCCAGGGCAAGAAAACGTAATCAAAGCCCTCCTGACAAAGAGCCATCCAGCCATAGATATGAATAGATAGATATGATTCACACACAGAGAGAGATCTAGTATCACAGATTTGAAAGAGACCCTTAAAGAAGGACACTGATGTGTGGCATATTCCTGAGGAGGCAAACCAGGCACTCTCCACATCAAGACAAAGAAACAGCAAGAAATGACATAGATTAGAAACCAACACTTTCTCATGGCTTGATTTTCCAGATCACCAGGCTGGGCCACAGCAACGCCTGCCAGGGGGCGGCTAGATTATCCACCTGTCTCTCTCTCTCTCTCTCTCTCTGTATTCCAGGCCTATCTCTGCCTACCTGTCTCATCTAGCTCTATCTCCATTATATATGAGATCTATACTATATTTCTATCTCTAGGACATCTGTCTCTCTCTCTCTATTGTATCTCTAGGTATGTATATCTCTCTGTGTTGTATTCCTCCGACCTAGATCACCTTAACATCCCTCTAGCTAATATATCTCTATGGTCCCTCCACGCTCTCTCTCTCTCTCTCTCTCTCTCTCTCTCCGCCGACTTCCGCCCGCGCGGCCCACTCACTTCCAGGTCGACCCAAACCAGCCTGTGACGCGCTTCCGGCCCCGGGGGGCCCGCCCCCGCCCCGGCCGCCACGCTTCCTGCGCCTCCTCCTGCTCCGCTTCCGGCCCCCGCCATCGCCCCTCGCCACACGCCCCTCGCCACGCCGCCGCCACCGCCACTGCCGCCGCCGCCGCCGCCACGCGCATTCCCGCCTCCCCTTCGCCGAGGAAGAGGCCTTCGAGCCGGAAAGACTACATCTCCCGGCAGGCTCCGCGACACCCGCGCCCGCTGGCTGCCGGCGCCGAGACAGCCCCGAGGCACGCCGGGAAACGGAGTCCTTTTTCTCTCTCGGCTGAACGAGAAAAGATGGCGTCCAGAAAGGCAGGCCCGCGACCAGTACTACGCATGCGCACTTTGCCCCTCCAGCCTCGACGATGGATACGCATGCGCAGCCACTATTGCTCATCTTATGCTCCTCCCACAATTAAAACCGGAAACCTCACGCATTTAAAGCGACAGTACCATTAAAACTGCTCAAACTTCCGTACAGTGGCCCTTATTTCTCATCATGCCAGTAAGGTAATGCTCAAGATCCTGCAAGGAAGAAGACTCCAGCAATACATGGAGCGAGAGTTGCCAGATGTTCAAGCTGGGTTTAGAAAAGGCAGAGGAACGAGAGACCAGATTGCCAATATCCGGATGCTGGAGAATGGAGAAAGGCAGGGAGTTTCAGAAAAACATCTACTTCTGCTTCATTGACTATTCTAAAGCCTTTGACTGTGTGGATCATCATAAATGGTGGCAAGTTCTGGGTGGGATGGGCATCCCAAGCCCCTTCCCTCTCTCCTGAGGAATCTGTACAAGGACCAAGTAGCAACAGTAAGAACTGACCACGGAACAACAGACTGGTTCAAGATTGGGAAAGGCGTACGGCAAGGCTGCATACTCTCACCCAACCTTTTTAACTTGTCTGCAGAACACATCATGCGATGTGCGGGGCTGGATGAATGCAAAGCTGGGGTGAAAATTGCTGGAAGAAACATTAACAACCTCAGATATGCAGATGACACCACTCTGATGGCCGAAAGCGAGGAGGAGCTGAGGAGCCTTCATCAAGGTGAAAGAAGAAAGCGCAAAAGCAGGGTTGCAGCTAAACATCAAAAAAACCAAGATTATGGCAACAAGAATGATTGACAACTGGAAAATAGAGGGAGAAAATGTGGAGGCTGTGACAGACTTTGTATTTCTAGGTGCAAAGATTACTGCAGATGCAGACTGTGCCAGGAAATCAGAAGACGCTTACTTCTTGGGAGGAGAGCAATGACCAATCTCGATAAAATAGTGAAGAGTAGAGACATCACACTGGCAACAAAGATCCGCCTAGTCAAAGCCATGGTATTCCCTGTAGTCAACCTACGGATGTGAGCGCTGGACCTTAGGGAAGGCTGAGCGAAGGAAGATCGATGCTTTTGAGCTGTGGTGTTGGAGGAAAGTGCTGAGAGTGCCTTGGACTGCGAGAAGATCCAACCAGTCCATCCTCCAGGAAATAAAGCCCGACTGCTCACTGGAGGGAAAGATACTAGAGACAAAGTGGAAGTCCTTTGAATGCCACATCATGAGGAGACAGGAAAGCCTAGAGAAGACAATGATGCTGGGGAAAGTGGAAGGCAAAAGGCAGAGGGGCCGACCAAGGGCAAGATGGATGGATGGCATCCTTGAAGTGACTGGACTGACCTTGAGGGAGCTGGGGGTGGTAACGGCCGACAGGGAGCTCTGGCGTGGGCTGGTCCATGAGGTCACGAAGAGTCGGAGACGACTGAACGAATGAACAACAACAACAACCATTAAAACTCATATGAAATCCTTCAGGATTGACGGGAGACGCGGGTTCGAATCCCACTCATCCCTCGTATATTTGGTTTTTGTTAATTAATTTATTCTCCTGCTAAATTTTTATTTTTGTTTTGCGTTTGTTTTTTTTTTTTTTTTTTTTTTTTTTTTTTTTTTTTTTTTTTTTTTTTTTTGTTTTTTTTTTTTTTTTTTCTTTCTTTTTTTTCTATTTTTTTTTTTTTTTTTTTTTTTTTTTGTTTTTTTTTCTTTTTTTTTTTTTTTTTTTTTTTTTTTTTCTTTTTTTTTCTCTCCCTTTTTTTTTCTTTTTCATTTTTTGTGGCTTTTTTATTTTTGTTTTTTTTTTTTTTTTTTTTTTTTTTTTTTTTTTTTTCTTTTTCTCTCTTTCTCTTGCTAATTTTTTCTTTATTGTTTTTACTTTTGATGAACTCATTCCTCGTTTATTTGGTTTTTGTTAATTAATTTATTCTCCTGCTAAATAAATAAATAGAATTTAGAAACTAAATAATCATAGAATAATAGTCAAGTGAAATCTAAATAATAACAACAACAATAATAATTGAAAAGTCGATGACAGATCCCAAGTGTAGACTCTGCAAGGAAGCCGGTGAAACAAGAGATCCCATCCTCAGCTGCTGCAAGAAGATCGCAGACAGACTCCAAGCAGAGGCACAACACCCTTGCTCAGGGGATTCACTGGGACTTGTGCCACAAACACCATCTGCCTGCCACAAAGAACTGGTGGGACCACAAGCCGGAAAATGAACACGCCAAACTTCTCTGGAACTCAGACTGACAGGGGCGGCTCAACCATTACGCGAAGTAAGCATTCGCAGTAGAGTTGATTTTGCCCAGGGGGGGCGCTCTTGAGGCGCTCTTGGGGGAAAATAGACCTTGACATATGCGAGTTGTAGTTACTGGGATGTATAGTTCACCTACAATCAAAGAGCATTCTGAACACTCCCAATGATGGAATTTAAGGTAACAATAAGAGCAGCCCATGCGGTGACTGCTAGAGGATGGAAAGACAAATCGAAATGGACATTAAATAATTGGAATGATTATATGTGTGACCAAGTACTGTTAGATATTACGGGAATTATGACTAAGCAAACACCAAGAATGGACAAAGAAAAGATCATTACAAATAGATGGAAGATCTACTTCAACTGGGTGAAAAATGGAGGAGCCAACGATCACATCAAAGAAAAAAAATACAAAGACTCTACCAGTGGCTGGATCTGCAAGATTAGTAGAAATATACTGTGGTTGAAGAGGGAGGGGGAGGGAGGGAGGGAGGGAAGGTGGGGATAATGTAATATACACCAGTGTAAATTAGCATAATGTCTTTAATATTTGTTGAATTACTCAGGATTTATATGTATAACACTTGAAATTTAGCTTATTGATTTGTGTGTATAAAATAATAAAAATATTTTTTTTAAAAAAGAGCATTCTGAACTCCACCAATGATGGAATTGAACCAAATATGGCACACAGAACTCCCATGACAAACAGAAAATATATATCAGTGGTTGGGGGGGGGGGTGCCAAAATACTGTTTGCTTACCGTTGAAAATTACCTAGGGCCGCCTCTGCATATGACAAGAGTTTTGGAGCACAAGACTCCTGACCTCACAATCGTGTTAAAAAACGAAAGTATGGATTATGGATGTTGCAATCCCAGGTGACAGCAGGATGAAGAGAAACAACTGGAAAAGATGACACAAGATGAGGATTAAAGATCGAACTGCAAAGACTCTGGCACAAGCCAGTCAAGGGGGTCCCAGTGGTGATCGGCACACTGGGTGCAGTGCCTAAAGACCTTGGCCTGCACTTAAACACAATTGGCGCTGACAAAATTACCAGCTGCAAAAGGCCACCTTACTGGGATCTGCACGCATTATTCGCTGATACATCACACAGTCCCAGACACTTGGGAAGGGTCCAACGTGGGATCCAATACAACAGCCAGCAGAGTGATCTTGTCTGCTGTGGACTCATCTTGTTGTATTTCAAATAATAAATAGAGTAAAATAATAATAATAATAATAATATGGAGATTAGCTGGCTCATAGACGTGCCAATTGAATATATTGAGGGGCAGGGATTGGGGTGACCGATATGATCTTGTCATCTAACATGTCTTTGTGTTTTGTGTGTTAAAAAATGCAATACAACTGGTTTGCTTCCGACACGATAAATAAATAAATCTAACATGTCTGAGAATTTATTCCAATCTGCCTTTCTGAAGTTGAATCTTCATTAAAATTGAACCCTGAGCCCTTATAGTTATGAGCCCTACCTTTGTGAATGTATCTCTGTACACGAACCCACGCGATCTCTCCGATCATCTGGAGAGGCCCTGCTCTCAGTCCCTCCTGTATTGCAAGCACGATTGGTGGGGACGAGAGAGAGGGCCTTTTTGATGGTGGCCCCTCGACTCTGGAACTCACTTCCTGAGGACATCAGGCATGCCCCAACCATGGCAGTCCTTAGGAGGAGCTTGAAGACGTGGTTGTTCCAGTGTGCCTTCCCAGAATAATGATCCCACAGCACTTTGTCCCCCAAAGCACTTCGTATTGTTTTAGGTCTGCTCGTATGTTCCCACAAACTGCCCTCTCACTTTTTCGCCCATGTCCAGCATTATTTTTTAATCTTTTAATTACATTTGGCCTAGTGTGTTGTCCTATTGATAATGCATGTGTTATTGTTTTGTTATTTCAAATTGCTTGTATTGTTATTGCTTATATTGTTGTATTTTGGGCTCGGCCTCATGTAACCTGCACCGAGTCCCTTGGGGAGATGGTAGCGGGGTATAAATAAAGTGTTATTATTATTATTATTATTATTATAGTTGGGAACTATTGGCATAATATCTGCCGGTGCTGTGTCACATTTCTTAACTTGGCACAGTTCCTAAAGCAGCTGTTCTTTGGCAGCTGACACGCCTTCCATGGTGACTGAGATTTTTATCATAGTTGGTCCTGAAAGGGTCGCCTTGTTTGTTTGTTTGCATGCATGTTGCAAGTTGTTTCTGGTGTGAGAGAATCAGCCATGTACAAAGACGCTGCCCCAGGGGACGCCTGGATGCTTCTATCATGTCAAGGACTATATATATGTAGAGAGAGAGAGAAATTCATTCATTCATTCAAATGCACAGGAGTCAAAGCCAAAGTTTGAAAAGATGTTTATTCCTGCGAAAATATAGGGAGAAGTATGTACACAAATTAAAGGAATGGGTTTTTTTTTTCTCTCTCCCACCTGAAAACTTATCCTTATTTTATCAATATCAGTCCTTTTATTTCCAAACAGCATCTTGAATATAACTTTCCGGAATAATACCATTCGGACTAATACTTATAAGGACATTCATCGATTTTTGCTTTTTCCATATTTAAGTCAGAAATCAAATGTTTTCATTTTGAAATTGTTTTCTGTAGCGATTCGATCGATTTTGGTTATTAATACTTGCTTTGCTTTAGATTTCTAAAAACGCGTTATAAAAACACACACAAGTATATATATATACATACAAACACGATGGTTTCCTGAGAAGTTTTTTAATCACTTTCCTGGTTCCGGGGGGAAAAAATAAAAAGTCGTTCTGATACTGCTGGCTTTAGATTTCTTTTTTAAAAATCCACGAGAAAACAATAACAACGAGCACATTTCAGTATAAAGCCTTCCACCTCTGAACGGTCTTTCAACAAGGATCCCAAAAAGCATTCCGGGCCTAGAAAAATAGTGTCCGCCTTCGTGGATTTCTGTAAAACGCAACCAAAACGCTGCATCGCCTTTTATTCCTCTTCTCTCGAATCATAAAATACATGGCGGCCGTTTTCCCTTCCCCCCTTTTCCCCTCAAAATGGACAATAAAGCGGAAATGGGGCTGGTTTTCTCAAAATGACAGACCGGAAGTGATTGGAGAGAAGGGAGACAGATATGGATAGACGGATAAATATTGACAGGAATCGGTAGATAGGTATTGGAGAGAGAGAGATCTGTCTTTCCAATCACCTCCACGTCCATACACACATCCATCCATCCAAATTGAATACATAGATAGGTATTAGAAATCTATCTATCCAATAACCTCCATATATATCCATAATGAAGAGATGAGATAGATATTAGAGATAAATCAATCTATCTCTCCGATCACCTCCAGATCCATCACAGATATATATCTCCATACTGAAGATTGAGAGATTGGAGAGAACTTCTCTCTCTCTCCAATCACCTCCAGATCCATCCATCTATCTCTCTGTCTCCACCTCTCTCTCTCTCCATATTGAAGAGAGAGGTAGAGATTGGAGAGAGATCTGTCTATCCATCCAATCTATTGATCCATCCAATCACCTCCAGATCTAGATCTAGATCTATATATATGGATGTCTTCTGTTTAGAAGCCACAGGGCAACTGGTGGAATCACTGCCTACAACGGCTCCGCTATAGTAAAAAGAAATCCAGAAGGGAGAGAGAGAGAGAGAGAGAAGAACCGCCTCATTGTCCCATCGAAAAGGAACCCGCTTCTGTCAAAATATACACTGGAGGTGAATTATTATTCTGTAAAAAACCCACACATTTTATAAAAAGGATCTCTCCCAGCTCCCCTCCTCCTTGGTCCACATCACCCGCCGTGTGGGGAGCGTATTGCGAAGTGGTTGCAAAAGAAGGGAAAGGGAAAGGGAAAGGGGGGTGCCGTGCGGCTCGTGCGCGCACGCCTCAGTGTCGGGAGGGCCGCTGCCACTTGCCCTCCCTGCGGGAGTGGGAGTGGGGGTCGTAATCATGGCTCCACCCGCTGCGGGAGTGGAAGTGGTCGCCGCCCCGCTGCCCCATGGCCATGGGCTGCTGCTCGCGGCCGTAGTGCCGCCCCTCGGCCGGGTAGGGGTGGGAGACCGCGCGGGCCTTGCGCTGCAGCGGAGCGGACGCCTCGTGGCGCCACGGAGAGGGACGGCACGGCGGGAAGGGGAAGCTCACGTCCGCATGCGGAGAGCAGGCCTGCTGCTGCTGCCACGCGCCACTGCTGCTCACCTGGCGGGGAAACAAACAGGGAGCCGGTCATGGTGGTATTACTATCATTTATATATATATATATATACATATCTCCCCCTCAAAGCAGCTTGACACAAAAGCATCAGCATAACCATTTAAAATATACAAATATTATTATGATGATGTATACCCTGCTTTATTTATTTATACCCTGCTTTATTTCCCCCAAAGGGGTATCAAAGCAGCTATGTATCTATTATTAGTATTATAGTATTAGTAGTAGAAATATATTATTACTGTTATATCAATTTATATCCACTTTATCTTCCCTGAAGGGGAATCAAAACAGCTCAAAATAAGAGCATTAGTACACATGTTTAAATATGCTATTATTATTATTATTATTATTATTATTATTATTATTATTATTATTATTAATTTTTATTCTGCTTTATCTCCCTCGAAGGGGACTCAAAGTGGCTTAACATAAAAGTATTAGCACACAATTTAAAATGTACAATTATTATTATTATTATTATTATTATTATTATTATTATTATTATTATTATTCTGCTTTATCTCTCCTGATGGGGACTCAAAAGTGGCTACGTATCTATTATTATTGCTATTGTTCTTTATTTATACTCTGCTTTATCTCCCCCAAAGGGGACTCAAAGCAGCTATGTATGTATGCATCATCATCGTCATCATCATCATTATATCTATTTATACCCCACCCTAATCCTAACCCAAAGGGGACTCAAAGTGGCTTAGCATAAAAGCATCAGCACAACAATTTAAAACATAAAAATAGGAAGAGAGGAAGGAAGAGAAGAAGGAAGGAGAGAGGGAAGAAAAGGAAGAGGGGGAGGGGGCGGGAAGGAAGAGAAGGAGAAAGGAAGGAAGAGAAGGAGGGAGGGAGGGAGGGAGGGAGGGAGGGAGGGAGGAAGGAAGGAAGGAAGGAAGGAAGGAAGGAAGGAAGGAAGGAAGGAAAGAAGGAAGGAAGGTAGGTCTCATGGTCTAACCAGCATTGCTTGTCTCTGGAGGTTTTCCGGGGAAAAGGAGGAGAAGGACCGCGGCACCAACGACGATGACGAAGAAGCCGAAAAGTTCTCTGCGCTCCTCTCGTACCTGCGGAAACCCAGAAAACAGAGGCAGGCTTCACTGCAAAATCAGGTAGGTAGGTTCAAACGGCACTAAATGGTCCGTGCAGACGAGGCCTCCTCAGGGCAGACGCTGGCTCTTTCACAGGCGCAGAAGGTCAAAACGTATATACAGACATTCAAGCACCTGATCCTTGCATTAGATGTGTATTGAGAAACCGCTACGTTTTTGGTTGTCTTTGATTGACGACCACAGGACTTGGGCTATATTTTAGCAGTTTTTATTGCTTAATGTGATGTGTGTGTGTGTGTTGTATTGGCAATGTGGCATGAAATGGCCGAACTGTAAGCCGCTCTGAGTCCCCTTCGGGGTGAAATAGAGCAGGGCAGAAATATAGGAAATAAAGCCTATATAGGAAATATAGCCTCTGAGAGAGTATAAACATGGAGTGTGTATGTGTGTGTGTATATAATATATAAATATCACAGTGGGACTCACCAGTTGTTGGTGTTTGTGGCTGGCGCTTGTTGTTGGTGCTGCGTGGCAGAGAGGCCTCCGTTGGGAGGGGCAAAGGGGGTGCCGTTGTCCTGAGATGCATGGCTGCTTCCTGTTAATAACAACAACAACAACAACAACGACAATTTTTTATTTCTTTTTCTCTAGCCGTCTTCCTGTCCTTCCCTTCATACACATGTATCTCCTTTCTTTCCCATCAACGTCGCAGAGGGCCACTTCACCCAGCAACAGCCTTTAGGGCACAAGCAGGCAGACCAATGCCTCTCCCCATGGCTTGAGTCAGGTGACAAAACAAAATACACAGATACAGCAAACACGCTCCAAGGCAGAGACATCTCCAGCTCATCCCCTGTTTGGGTATCAGCCAGCACGTCAACGACTTAAATCTAGACATAGTTTTCTAAGATCTACAGAGACACTCGCTGGAACACCTCAGCAAGCGAGAGTCCAAAAGTGGCAGGCTCAAACCCAGAACCTCAACCAATGGCTGATACCAAATGAGAGACTCCCTCCTGGGCACACAGAGGACTGGGCGACTTGGAAGGCGCTGAACAGACTGCGCTCGGGCACCACGAGATGCAGAGCCAACCTCAAGAAATGGGGCCACAAAGTGGAATCCTCGACATGCGAGTGTGGAGAAGAAGAGCAAACCACTGACCACCTGCTGCAATGCACCCTGAGCCCTTCTTCCACATGATGCACCAGGGAGGACCTTCTTGCGGCAACACCAGAGGCACTCCAAGGGGACAGAGACTGGTCAAAGGACATTTAATCCACTACCAAACTCACAAATTTTGTATTTTGTCTGTTTGTTTGCTTTGTTCTGTTAGAAATGTAATATAATTTGACTGGTTGTCCTGACACGACAAATAAATAAGCAAAAACGCTACAAATACACATAGTAAACCGTACCTCCATAAAAGCTACACGACAAAATGTATCTCAATGAAATACATATTAAAACAGACTAAACAGAGATTAAACGAAGTCCTTGTCTTCTCAGCCTCCTCCTCCTCCTCTGCCGCCTCCACCACTCGTGGGGTGCCCTCTGCCACTCGCAGGGCACCCTCCACTCATTGCCTGTAGGGCTTCCATTGCAAGCAAGCGAGTGAGCACCAGTTGCCAGTGATGCCTGCGGTGGAAGCCCAGAAGTCAGGCAGGCAGGCAAGCAGCTGGGACTCCGCCGCCTCCGCCGCCTGACTGGGGCCAGGAAAGGAAGGCGAGAGGGCTGCCCCACTGGCCTCAGCAACCCCTTTGCCCTCCTTCTCCTTCTCTCGCTGGGGCCGCTGCCTCACCCGAGCCGGGCTGCCCCCTACCTCCGCCCACCTTCACCCTCCTGGGGTGGTGTGGGAAGGCAGGGAGGGGGGTGCCCGTCGGGCCCAGTTGAGGCTGTGTGCGAGGAGGGGTCTGACCAGGAGCAGGAGGCGGCAGCTTAGGGCCTGGCGAGCGAGTGCCGCCTGAGCCAGGGCTGGCCGGGGGGGGGGGGGGGGGGGGGGAAGGCAGGCAGGGGGGCTGGCGTGTGCTCCTGTTGCCTCTCCTGTCCATGCATGTACCTGCCTGCCTTTCCTCAGTTTCAGAGGAGGCGAGAAGGAGGAAGGGAAGTGGTCAGTGACGGGGGGGGGGGGGGCTCAACAGGCCTGGGCCGAATGGCCCACGATCCCTCTCTCCGTGCCCCAAGTCTGCAAGGCAACCCAGGAGAACCTGACACCGGTCCCTTCAGCCCCTCATGGAGAACTCAGGAAGGCTGGGCTCCCTCCCTTTGAAATCTCTCTTCTCTAAAAGCCCGGAAAGGAAGAACAGCAGGCGGGCAGGCAGGCCTTGCTGGGCCAGGACTCCTCCTCTGCTGCGCTGGCTAACCCCCCCCCCTTTCCTTCTCCCCCCCCCCCACGATCCCACCCCTCCCTCCCTGTTTTACGTATCCCCCGCGGTGCATTTAGAGCAGGCAGGGGCAAAGTCTGGCCTTCCAGGTGTTTTGGACTTCAACTCCCACAATCCCTAACAGCCTGTAGGATGTACTGTAAATAAATAAATTTAGATTAAGCCTCAGTCTATTTATTTATTTATTTATTTATTTACGACATTTATATGCCGCCCTTCTCACCCCGAAGGGGACTCAGAGCGGCTTACAAGTCATAAGTACATACAACATACAACATACTACATAATACATAACTAGCATAGTACTATTACGAGCCCTCCAAGTATGACTCCAATTCGTACGCAGCCAGAGCACCCTTCCTATCGTTAGTCTTTTAATTCCTCATTGAAAGTGGAGAAGGAAAGCCGCGGGCAGAATGGATAGGGAGGTCGGGCTGGGTGTCTCCCTGTTTCTCTTTGTGTAGACAAGTGAAGATCCTTTGGCTTCATCAGGCCTTTGGGGGCTGCATTTCTGTAGGGCCCACTGGTTTGGGGTGGCCTCTGTCCCAACGGTAATAATAAAAATAACAACAACTTTATTTGTATACCCCGCCAGCCATCTCCCCTCGGGGACTCGGGGCGGCTTACAAGGGACACACCCAAGATTACAATTAAAACACTGTAACCAATTAAAACATCAGATTAAACAAATAACAACACAATTGAAAGCAATATAAAAACAATACAGCTGAAAGGAACATAGCTGAGGTGCAGAATCAATGAGTGCAATGCATTTTTGCAGGAGTGCAGGAAAGTGCAACAATACAGTAAACTGGGCAGGAAATACTCTAACACGTGTCGAGGTAGGACGCATGTCAGTGTAAAGTGCGGAACTTCAAGTAGGGACAGGAAAATTACTGGTGAGCTGCTTAGTGAAAAGCGCATTGGAACATCCAGATTTTTAGTTGACTACGAAAGGAGGACAAGGTGGGAGCCTGTCTGATCTCCCTAGGGAGGGAGTTCCAGAGCTGGGGTGCCACCATCAAGAAGGCCCTCTCCCTTGTCCCCACCAACCGTGCATGTGACGGCAGGGGGAGGGAGAGCAAGGTCTCCTCAGAAGATCTCAAGGTACACACTGGTTCATAGGGGAAGATGCGATTGCGGAGATAAGCAGGTCCCGAACCGTTTAGGCCTGTATAGGGGATGGCCTGCACCTTGAATTGGGACCGGAAACTTACTGGAAGCCAATGGAGCTGTTTAAACAGGAGGGTTGACCGCTCCCTGTGACCAGCTCCCGTGAGTAGCCACACACTGTCAGCCTCCACAATAATGGTTTCATCAGAGTTGGAAAGTCTTATCTTAAATTACAGTTTTATGTAAACATCAAAAACGCATAACCTACTGATGCCTCAATTCATGTAATTGTGTTGCTATCTATTTTTATTTTGAAATTGACCCGTAGCTGCTGCATTTCCCGCCCGTGGCTTGTACTCGAGACAATAAGTTTTCCCAGTTTTTTGTGGTTAAATTAGGTGCCTTGGCTTATATTTGGGTCAGCTTATACTCAAGTAAATACAGTACATAGATAAATAGAGAGATAGATAAATCAAGAGAGATGGACAGATAGATAGATATTGGATCCATATAGACCCATATGATAGATAGATAGATAGATAGATAGATAGATAGATAGATAGATAGATAGATGGATGGATGGATGGATGGATGGATGGATGGATGGATGGATGGATAGACAAGCAGATAGATAGCTATCTAGCTAGATATTGGATCCCTATAAACCCATATGATAGAAAAATAGATCACTGGATCCATTGTAGACCCATAGGATAGATAGATCTGATAGATAAATAGATAAGCAGACAGAAAAGCCGGCTGTTAGGAATTGTGGGAGTTGTAGTCCAAACGCCTGGAGGGCCGAAGCTGGGACCACCCGGTGTGTAAGAAGGTCTACCTGATCGAAACTGTATGTTGAGGGGCCTCCCGAAGAGCTTGATCCCGTTGAGGAGGCTCATGCCGTACGGGACGGACTCCTCGTGCTTGAAGTTCACAAAGGCAAACGGCTTCCCTTTCCCCTCCCGGTCCTTCGGGATCTTCACCTTCACCACCGGACCCCCCTGGCAAACACACAGATATATAGATAGACAGAGACAGAGCTCTATGTCCCACATTCCAGGCAACAAAAAGGACTAGCGCATCCCATGAACATCAAAGGCAGGAATAAGTGCCAGCAAAGATACTTGTCGATATACGTTTTGAAGCAATACACCTTCAACAAAGTCAACTTTGCTTTCTCAAAGGAAGGAAGACTATTATTATTATTAATAGCAATAATAATAATACTCCACTTTTTCTCTCCACCGGGAGACTCAAAGCTAGGTTTCTATTATTATAATTATAATTATAATTATTATTATTAGAAAGCATTATTATTATTATTATTATTATTATTATTATTATTATTGTGCTTTTCTCTCCATCAGGAGACTCAAAGCGGCAATGTATCTAATATGTATGTTATTATAACTATTATGAATTTACACATACATAACACAGTGCACATGCACATTAGGTCCACGTGTCTGTGATTCGTCCCTGATTATTATTATTATTATTATTATTATTATTATTATTATTATTATTATTATTATGCTTATTTATACCCTGCTGTTTTCTCTCCACAGGAGACTCCAAGGGACTATTACTATAACTAGCCACCCCCTGCCATGCGTTGCTGTGGCCCAGTCTGTGTATACGTGGGTAATAGTATGAAAG